TCTCTCTCTCTCTCTCTCTCTCTCTCTCTCTCTCTACACGCTACTTACGAGGATCCTCGTTATCGTTTGCAATGTCCATCGGCTCCTCTTCCTTGTTTTCGGACTCCATTTGTGGTGTCGTAGTGTCCGATCAAGAAGCCTTTTGTTGATCAATCATAGAAGATGCGCACCAAGCAAGACAGCGAGAGTGAAGAGCGACGCTGTCATCCAAAAGGAGGAAACAAGACAGCAGCCGAGCTAGAGGGTGCAGGTGACGACGCTAGCGTCAGGCAAAGCCTGCAGCAGCAGCGGCGGCGTAGGCACAGCTTACGGCCTCCAGAGCGAGAGGCAACAGCGTCTGGGCGAACAACAACAGAAATCAAGGCAACAGTGCAGGGAATGGACACTTGCGCGTGAGCGCCAGTCGTTCTAGCAGCACTGTTCACTGAGCGCACCACCACAGTTTTTGCACTGCCAAAGTTACAAGTCGGCTATAATCACTTTGGTTGCACGTAACGTTGATTGTACAGAAACAAATAGTTTTTGTTTACGATTACTACGACTGGAGCTCACGCTTAACTGTCTATTCCTTGCAACAGTTGCTGACAGCTACAACTAATACCTCTTTCCTGGTGTTGTTAGGCGTCACCTCTCTCCAATGAAAAACTCATCCTTTGAAGCTACCGCGCACAGGTGTAAGCAAATATAAGTGCAGTTCGGCAGTCATCTATTACTCATTCTCACTCAATTTTGCAGCCTTTCTGGTCAGCTCAACCTCTGCTTGTTTTGTGCAAACTTTGTGGTTTTCAGATTATCATTTCTGCCTGTTCAACTGTTGATCCTCTTCAGTATTCCAAGACTTTAGAGTGAGCTTTAAAAAAATCTTGTTTGTTAGTTTCTAATTTATTAATACTTTTCAGTCTCTATAGTCACACCAAAATGATGATCATCAAGTGGAGCACCACCACCACTACCACCAGCATTGTCTTCTTTGCTTTGCTTCTTTCACTGATGAGCGTCTTTGCTTTTCCTAAGTTAGAAAAGCTAGGGCCTATCTGTGATCACATCAACTTGAAAAACGCTTTCAAAGATTGCCTGACTGTTACTCTAAAGAAAGGACGCCTCGACTCCAATGTCTGCCACGGAAAGGTAGGGACTCAAAGTTCTCACTTTATTGCAATAGAAAACTAACAATTGGTTTTTTCTTTTTCTTTTCAGGCCTTTTGCTGCAACATCGCCAAGTACCGAATCTGTGTGGATGCAGCAGTTTGGGAGTACTGTGAAAAGAAAATAAACCAAGTGTACTTTCTTCAGTCCATTGTGAGCACTACGGAAATTCAGTACGGTATTACTGACTTTGAGAAGAAGTGCTGCGGAGTGGCTGGCGCCCAAATCAACGACTGCTTCAACATTAAAAAAGATTTTACAAAAGCTTTGTTTGCCCTCGCAATTGTTGGATTTGCCTTCTTTTTCATCTACAACATGCGCAGTACGGTGCTGCACTTTGGATATCGTTTATGGCTGGTTCTTGGCAAAGTTGTCTGAAACTACTCTTACCACAAATAACATCGAAATGACAACTCCTAAACGGGTACATAAGCACAGCTAAGCTTGAAGAACTTTATTCCATTTTTTACTTTTATTTTTACATATAATGGTTGCATTTGACATGCATATTCTTTCTCAATCTTTTATTTTGTTTCAGTGAGTTTTTTTGTAATCAAATTTTTATATCTTGTTTATTTCTTCTACTTTTATTTGTATCTAAACTGTAAGGTTTTAAACTCTCTACCGAACTTATCTACTTTGTGAGTTATCAACACTATTTTATTTCTCATTTGTTATGTACTTCACAAATCACAAAGATAATGCCTGAGTACTTAATTGTATTTGTTAACTGTACACGATTGTTCTGTTCCCCCAACAAAATCTAAATTGATAATAAATGTCAGAGTAACCCTCCAATATTCTAGTTTTTTCTACAAAAACTGATCACAATTAGTTTGCAAAAGTTTCTGAAATAGACTTGTTTAGAAATAATAAATAAAAACAGAAGTGTGAGTGTCACTTCGCGACACAAATTTTCTAGTTTTTTCAAGTTGTTAAGCATTGACTGGTGTCATTTGGTTGATCGGCACCGACGGCTTGGGACACAACTCGCAAGCTCGTTGTGCCCCAAGCCGTCGGTGCCGATCAACCGAATGACACCAACCTTCAACATTTTGGGTTTATTTGGCGAGTTAACTGTAAAAAATATTTGTAAAAAGTCATGTCATTCAGTTTCATTTAGAAAATCCCTCATAAAAAATACTTTTAGTAGTCCAGTCAATTCAAATTTAACATCAATAGATAGATGCTTATTAGAGTTGTTTTTAAAATTAACTGCGTTATAATATCATAAAAGATGTAATATATAGAACCATAAATGTAAACGCAAAAAATCATATAAAACTTAATTAAGGATTTAAAAATTATAACTGTTTCTAATAAATACTCGCGTAAGTCAAATCAACCTAAATTTAAAATCAAATGATGGAGGATAGTATACATTGCTTTTAAGTGAAACAATGTTTAGATATCATTAAAAATGCAATTTATAAAATCATAAATGTAAATGCAAAAAATCATATGGAATCAATTTAGGAATTTTTATAAAATTTGTAATTGATCATAATAAATACTTGCGTTGACTAAATTAACACTAACTTAATACCATTAGATAAGCACTACTTTGCATTGCCTTCAGGTAAAACTGAACTTAAAAATCTTAAACGATGTAATTTCTAGAATCATAAATGTAAACACAAAAAATTATATAGAATTAATATAGGAAATTTTAAAACTGGCTGTAATAACTACTTTCAAAAGTCAAATTTTGTTAATTTTAACTCCAGTAAGTAGGTATTTGTTAGTTTAGTACTCAAGCAAAAACCGCAATTTGATAACTTTCACGGTGTATTTTTTTAAATCAAAACAAATTTTATAGAACTTATTTGAAAAGTTTGAATTTATGATTTTTAAAATGCACCCGGTGTTTGAATTGCCTCAACTTTAGTACTATTTAAAAGATGCCATTTAGTTTGTTTGTGTAAAAACCGTTTCTCGATATCTTGAACGATGTAATTTATAGAAACAAAAAAGTGCGTTAAGAGAGAGAAACATCATTTTTTATTTTTTAAGTGAAGTTAGATTAGATGGCAAGTCATTTACAGTGTAAGTCAATAACAACGAGTAAAAATGATGCTGTTTCTTGAACTATTCAAAACAATGAGGGAGAAGTGAAAGAGGATAGAGGCACTTAGACCCTCACTCACTCTCCTCGAATGCGACGAGCCAGTTGAATGTCTCTGAGCTGAAGAGTGACTCGTTTGGCGTGGGTGGCACACAAGTAGGCGTCAGTCAGAAAGTCGGCCAGGTAAGCCTCTGCGGCTTCCTAGGGAGAACAGAGAGAACGAGTAAGTCCTGTCGTGTGCACATTATTCTCACGCCATTCGTCGCATTGTGCCTTTCACCTACCTGCAGACCGCCAATGGCAGCATTTTGAAAACGCACATCAGCCTTGATGTCCTGGGCAATTGTCTTCACCACAAGTTTAAAACGGAGTTTGCAGAAAAGCAGTTCGGTGGTGTTCTGGTAGTGGCGGATCTCACGAAGGGCCACATCTCCAGGACGGTATCGATGGGGTTTCATCAATCCACCAGTCAAAGGGCCCTGCTTACGAGCAGGTTTGGCGGCTAGTATAGAAAACAAATAATGTGAAAACTAGTGCACTTTTATAAAATAAGAACTCGTCTTTAAACTTACTTAAACCTTGCTTTTGGGCAGTCGTTAAGCCGGTAAACTTGCGAGCAATCTGCTTGGTGCGAGCCATTTTGGTGGGGTTGTGAAATCTAAAAAATAACGTAAAAAAATTTGTAGTTATTCAATTAGAATCAACAGTTGTTTTCGGTGCACTAGAGACAAACATCGCAGTGATCCGTGATGCCTGAACTAGTTTACATTGAGGCAGTAAACAGATCTAGCCAGTCAATCAGAAAACACCGCAAAATGTTGTCAACAGATTAAGAACTTTCAGAAAACAGTGTGACGCAAAAAAACTTACCGACAACGGAGGCAAATGTCAAGAGAATGGTCTAGAGAGCGGAGGCTGCTTAGGGGAACAACAGTGACTGACTTGCCAAATGACAACAAACTACTTGTGTCGTTGGGGAAAGTAAGCGAAAGAAGAGCACACAAAGAAAATGTTGACATTAGTTCGTTCAGTGAAGTAGTGTCAGGAAAAATGGGCGTGCTACAGTTTGCTGCACCGGCACAGCGACAGCAGAGAGCGGTTGCCCTTTGGTTGTGGTGACGTCAAAAATAGACTCCATCCTTAAAAATTAATGGTCAGAAGTAGCTGAACTGGAGCGCTGCTTCTCANAGAAAGAGAGAGAGAGAGAGAGAGAGAGAGAGAGAGAGAGAGAGAGACGTGTTTACGTTCATGCAACAAATGTGCAGTGCTTTTTCCGTTGTTTCAGAAACGGTAAATTGTTTTGTCAATCTCCGATAATCACCGTTCCTGCCACAATACTTGAGTCGCTGTTGTTTGTTGTACTTGGCAGTGCAAAAAAAGAATTAGACGACAGCGCTTTTGGCAAAGTGCCCTATTTGCCGAAGGCTTTATAATCTGTTAAGCAAAAGCTATGTGGCGTAGAAAAATAACACCTCGATCAGAAAAAATCAAAGTTCTACAACATGGCCAGCAATCCTACCTCGCCGCGACTTCGAGGATGCACTGTCGTGAAAACTGAATGTAAGTGTGCTTTGTGTTATTGATCATATCTAGAGCTTGGCATTAGTGGCAGTCCCAGCGATGAGCAATGAACAATAAGATTTGAACCAAAATGACTAAAACAATCCTTCCAACCGCCTAACCCCAAAGTGCCTCTTATGATGCACAGCACAAGTGATCCAGTGTACGCCTTTTGCTTTAAAGGGGCCTTCCTTACCCAGCATCACCAGTACGTGTTCTACTACGGAGCAAAGGCAGAAGAGCTGCTGCTCGCTCGCCTCTGTCTGTACAGTCACACCTGGCAGGTGTTGCCCTCCTTTCGTTTGGAAATTGCTCAGCACACCAACCTGGTGGTACTTCCACTTCCCTGGACGGGAGACAACAACCACCACCAGGTTTTACTCGGTTTTGAAAATAACTGCAAACTGTTGACACTGAGCCAGCTAGCAAACTCCGGCGGAAATGCGACCACCGACCCTCCCGAAACGACATCTGTTTGTTTTCACCTTCTCCAGCCGCCGGAGAATGGCATAGTAAACTTTGACTGGTTGCAGGCGGTGGCGTACCGAGAAAGTAGGGCAATTTTCGTACTTTGCGAAACGACATTCACTAATGAAGACACAACCGAAAGGAGTCTGGACATCTATAAATTGAACTTTGAAGATGATTTTCTTTTTTTGCGTATGCTAGAACTGGCTCACCCACCTGAACAGCTTTTGAAAAAGGGCTACTTTATGGCAGTCCACGAGAGCCACCTCTACATTGGCGTCGTCAAAAAAGAACCCAAAATCACCATAGTGCGCGGTCAGCGACGTAAAAAAGAGTTACAATTTTTGAATGAGGTGGTAAGTAAGCATGACTCTTTAGTGCAGCTCAACCCCTTATAATCACCTTTCCTCTAATCACCACTACCCTTTTTCTCTACACTTCCACTCTTCAGCAACACATCAACCTCAGCACTTTAGCACTGGATCGCCTGGCTGTGACCAGCCGCCCTCACTACACGATCCTCCGTCGACAGACTGCTCTGCAGTTCTGTCTCGTGGGCGACACTGTCTACATTCTCAACGCCCTCTTAGGCCCGCTTTTGGACGGTGTTTGCGTTGTGAAGAACCAGCTGTGGGCGCTGAAGTTGACGCCCTCGATGAGCATGACGCAGATCAACGACGAACCGCAGGGCCAGCATGAGTGCTCATTTGCAGTTGAGGAGCACCTTCAGCCCCTACTTTTCACCCTGTGGATGATGACCGTGCCCGGACTGCACGTCACGCCTGACGGTTTGCAGCTGTGGGTGGTAGAGATGAAGCCTGAGTGCATCAATTTGAACCACTGGGAGCCCATTATGCTTCGCATGTTTTGCATTCCCCTTTGCGGACCGGTGCCCAGTCTGGCGGCGATGACGCTGCACTACATGCTCATTCGCCGTCCACTGACGTCTCTGCAGCTGGAAAAGGAGGAAGAGGAAGAGGAGCCCAGAAACGGCAATAGAACCGGAGGACACACAGATCGTATTCGATTTGTCCGCAAACAGGAGCGCACTCTGCCTTACTTGCGCGCCTTTGCCGAGCGCACTCCCGACCTGAAGGGAATTGCAGTGTACCATCTGC